TGCTCAAGGATTTTAAAGAGGAATATAGCTAATGAAAAAAAACACCATTAAAGGAGCAAAAATAGTTTTAGCAGGTTTTTCTTCCCCTTTTTTTCTTCTCCTAAAGAGATAGATTTTATTTCTAGGTCTTTTTAATAGGATGTGACTGACAGCTTCACAAACTTACTATCTCCTGAACAGGACCCAGACCTTGAATTCTGTCTCGTCGTGAGCAATGATAAAAGGTAATAATTTATTCCACACTGTGATGAGAAAGGTAACGTTTTCTCATGGAAATTCCAGCTTTATAGCATCAGTTCTCTGAAGGAATATAGAAAAACGTATTACCTGTTTGATATCATCTTCAGGAAAGGGTTACTTCCAGTCAGAATTATACTGAATGATGATGAAAATACATCCTCCTCTGTATTCACAGACCTATGTTTGACTTTCCTCAAACTTGGAGGCTGGAAAAATTAAAAGTAAATGAAAAAAGCGAGATTATCACTTGGCAGTAGAATCAATCTGGCCACGGTAAAACACAGAATATGAGTAAGATGCAATACTGAAACAAATGTTAAATGGACATCAGCATCTCAAACCATAAACCAGCTTAGATTTTGGCACGCTGCTGCGATACACATTTCTCTTGGGCCAGCAACAAGAGCAGTGATCCAAAGAAGCTGCCACTCTACAGGCTGTCACCCTATCTTACAGCAGAGGGAATTGCTGATCAGAAGACTGTATTCTCTGTGTTAACGTGAGGAAACTCAGGGATCTCTTCTCTCCTTCTTTTAGCTTCCTCCCCTCCCACACAAAGGGTATTGTTCTCTCTGCAGTAACACTTTCTTTCCCGTCTAGTCACAGTGGCATTTCTTGCTGCTCAAGTAAACGCAAGGCCCTTAAACGATGGTGCTTGGATGTTTATTTATCTGCTCACTCAGACAGAGCCAGCCTTGTAAATGTCATGGGTTTTGCTGTGTTAATGGCCCAGTTAACTCCCCAAGCACCCACAAAAGCAGATATGAGTTTTAGCCTCCATCACGTGTTTGTAAGCCCTTTATGCCCAAAAGTAAAGCTGCTTGGTTCAGAACAGCTTCCAGGTGTACACTACATTCTACTGCATACGGCTTAACAACTACGACAACTATCAATGCTCCCAAAATCCATGTGCCTTGCACTTGTTAAACTTTGGAATATGTTTTGCACCACTTACTCTTGCGGTTCCCGTTAGCTCCTGCCACAAACAGAAGTCTGATGAAATTCTGCGTTTTGGCACACTGCACTACAGCGAACCGTGCAAACCCATGGACTCATGAGCAAACCCCAACATAACAAATCCCTCTTTAGACTGAAACAAGAGCTTGCTAAAAGACACACTGTTTCCTGTTAAACGGCCCGCGGTAAATGACGGGATATGATGTGTACGAACAAAGATGGTATGAAGTAAATCAAACATCCTACCGCCAGATCAGTGTCTGGAGTGAGACAACGCATGCAGCAACCGACCGGGGCAGTTTTCTTTACAGATGATTCTACAGTTTTCAAAAATTAATGGGAAGGCTAAGTAACGGAGATTAAAACCAATGGATCAGTCAAAAGACCCCAAAACACTAGTACAGCTTCTAAGAAAACAAGATGCTATATCCAAATAAGGACCAAGGAGACAAATCAGATTGTGAACACACTTTATTTGACTGTGAGAATGAGAAAGAAGGACAATGGCTCAGGCAAAACCCAAGAACTTGCAGTTCCTTTCTCCCAGACAAAAGAAACTTTAACAGGAACATACCGGGCTCTCCAGATGCACTGTACCGTGTATACTCTGCTCCTGAATTTGAAAGCACAGACTTTAACCTGAAAACACCCAATGAAAAGAAAGAGAGAAACTATCAACTATTTCTGACAGTCCAAAGGCTGAAGTCTGAGCATGGGTTTTGCTTAACCTTGGAAGACTCGCTTCACTTCAGTGTATGCCCCCTTCCTCCTTTCTTTCTCCTTCTCTTTAGCATGGACTAAAATGGCTTTCAAATCTAGGTGACACTGAAATTTTTGTAAAGCCCCCGCAATGGATTCAAACTTCTAAAAAGATACTTAAACTTGTCTACCTGCTTTCTGAGATGAATAGTTAGTCGTGAGATGAAAATTGTCCTTACTATTGATACAACTAGTGTTCTAACAGTGACTATTTTTGAGACTTACACTGAAAAGGACTTTTAAAACTTAGCAACTTACTGCTAACCTCTGCCTGAACACCTCAATGAATTAATCCAAATTCTCACATACAACTCTGTTTTAAAACAGCTTGATGTTAAGTAAAACTCCAAAACATTCATGGCCAAAAACGCTTTAACCCATTCCAAAGATCAATGCTCATACAAGACAAAGATTTGGAAGGGTATCTTACTATCTTTTCTTTCAGAGAAATTTGTCTGAAATGAAGTTAGCAAGGATTTACTTTGTTTCTGCATACAAAATTAGATGAAAATAGCTATTTTTTTTAAATTTAAATCAACACTTAGTAACATATTCTATCAGAAGTTTGTGAAAAAGTCAACAAACACACACACAACTGCAGTCTATCTTCTTCCCTCTCCCACTGAATTAGAAAATTCACAATTTTAAAGGTGATCCCCAATGTGCATGAAATTCATCACTAAATTGATACTGTAATTGCTATCATCTCCCTTTTACGCCTGTTGCCGTATTGGCTGCTTTCTTCCGCCCCCGTTCTCAGTGTGTAATAAAGCTTATCTCGTCATTTAAGGGTAAGATGATTCACTTCACCATTTCTAACAAAACAGTGCAATAGTCATACGAGAAGTATCACGGGGTTCTTCCCCTCCCGAAACTCAGTGAGATTTTACCACAAAACTAGTTAGAAAAGTCAAAATGGACAAAATTCCACACGTATCCGATATAACTAGAAGATAGGAAGTTGAACACACACTAATAGACTAAAAGCTTTTAAGGTTGCTTTTAGATTTCCAAACATTTTCATACAAAATAATCAATAAAAATTGTTTATCCCCTTGACATGCACCCCCTTCCCCTCCCCACCGTCACCTGCCTTACGTCAAAAGTAACTGAAAATTACACTCCCATTCGTCCCCCTGCCTCCCTAATTGCACATTAAGACATGGACTTAAAAGAACAACAATGCTTCAAGTATGCTTCATGCCAATCGTCTAATAAGAGTCATAACATTACTGAAAAAGTACACTTATTTTCGGGAAGCCTGAGAAGGACTTCCTGCGGAGTGTGGTCAAACAACATTTTAAATAAGAAAAAAGCCCCCTAACCCAATCCATATCCCACCCTCTCAAAAAGAGTAAAGTGTAAAATTTTCTTTGGACTTAAAGAAACAGTATTAAGATTTACCATCTGAATAAGAAATAACCCCAATAGCAATTTAGTTTTACAGTGCTGCACAAACTGTGCACATGAAACAGTGAGTCGTACAGGTACCGTTGTCCAGCTCTACACACACAGACTACGTGGAATATAAGCATACACATGACATACTGGCCTGTCCGGAAACAAGATACATTTTTTAAGGCTGGTAAACCTGAATAAACCTTTGCATCCAGAAGTATTTTTAAAATCATTCTCTCTTCATTGGTGGATTTGGAATTCTAATAAATGGGTGATGATTTCATCAAGAAACCATCAGCAACATGAGAGACAGAGCTTGGACGTGAAACTGAGTGCACATCGTCTCATCTGATCATGTATAAACAAGGATCCTGATTTTAGGGATGGTATGAAAGAATTCTCATTTTTATGGACAACAAACCCTCCTGGAAACACAAGCAGGTCATTGAAGAGATACCAAAATGTATATACAGGTGCGCATATATGTGTATACACACACGTATGATAGATCATACACGTATTTATTACAACATGTAACTGCATAAAAATGTATTGTTTTCTTCTAAAATAAAGGGGTTTTAAGCTGTTCTAAAAAACCCAACAAAATCAGAAACAAAACCCCAAACCTCACTAAGCATGAACAAAGAAAAATGTTATGGAAAAAAGTGAGTCACATACTGGCAGCAGAGGAGTGTTGAAAATTATAGTAATAAATAGCTCCAAATTAAGAATTTTCTACAACATCTCCTTAGAAGCCAGGAACAGTATTTCTTCTTCTTTTATGATGATCCTGCAGAACACTTTCGCTCTAACATATAGTTAATTTTATAACATTAAGCCAGACATAAGAACGTAGACTACAGAAGATGCTGGATTCAGGACAGTATACAAAACATTTTTTGCCAGAAGTCCTACTGGTTTATTCACTAAGGCTAGACAGCAAGTCATGTGATACTATTCGGTGTATTTTCTACCATGGTCAAGATCATTAAATGAGTAGACCTAAGGACCTGTGGTCCAACCCACTGTGTCAGATGGGAAACAAAACACAGGATGACTGTTTGGTCCCCAACTTTGTATCTTGTTTCCTGGAACTGCAGAAGTGGAAACAAGACTGTAGTGTTTTATGTGACTAAGGAAAGATACCAAGAATTGGCATTTTATAAGGTCACTAGGCTTGTGATAGTACTGCATCAAAAGAACACACACGGGACCCCACTACTTGCCATATCTGGTAGTGTCATTCAATGACTGGTTGACTTCAGAATATGTGTTATGCATTAATAAATAGATCAGTTATGTAATAAGGCAGCGTGTCGAACATGCATTCATCTCGTGGACTGGAACACCACAGAGAGATACATGATACTATACACATTCATTAAGACCAAGTACTTTTGTTTGCTTTTGTGTGTTTGTTTTTCAAGGCTATCCAGGCAAACTCTTCCAGAGCATGTTCTTCTTGAGAAGACGGGTTCTCTGAGTCTTTTCACTTTTCCTCTCCCTTTATCAAGAGATGATGACTGGCTTCAAGGAAAAATAAAGCTGAAGAGGGTTGTTTTATTCCACCCCACCCCCCATTTTGGTTGCATCATTCTCAATATTTCATTTAAAGAACAGTTTTTAATGAGACAGATGCTGAATCCTCAGGAGGTTCCAGATGTTTCCACGTAACTCTGCAGCTTACGGACTGTGGTTTTGTCCAGTGAGCAAAGATCAAAGTCAAAGGTTGTATTTGTGATATGAAAGTGTCCAGTTTCTTCTATAAGATTTACTATCTGAAAGGAAAGAAAAAATGCAGTTGAAAACATCAGTAGTTTAACATGCCCACTGAGTGTATTAACATGCCATTAAGTATCATATGAAAGTCATAAAAGAAGCCAAATTTTCCCAGCACTTGCAGGTTAAACCATTATCCTTATCACAGACTTCCTTTCTAACATGAACTATGGTCCAGACTACAGCACCTTAGTCCATTTTCTTTTTCAGATCATCAACCCTAATGGCAGCCTACCCATCTGCTGTTCCAGCAAACACTACCACAAAGAATACGTTATTCAAATGTTAAAAGAAAATCTGACAACTTTCTAAGTCACTCTTAAAAGAAAAAAAACCAACCCAAAACAAAAATCACAAACAAAAAACCCCTCAGCAATCCAACAACCCAAAAAGAGCAAAACCCCCCACCTCTCACCTGCCCCAAGAACAAATAAATAAAAAAAAAAAGACTAAGAGATACATCTCTGTCTGGGATATCAAATCTAGTCCATATCACATAAAAATTGCATTCAAGAGCTCTCATATCAACAATTAGTTCACATACTAGCAGTTACTTCTTGAGTAACAGAATTAAATAAATTTTTTTTAAACCAAACCAACTGTAGAAGACTCCTACCAATGGCATAAGATAACTTCTTCTGGTGACTGTTTAATATAAAAATCACAGCTTTCACTTAAACAGGCAACAGAAGAGCTGTTGGGAGTTCTTGAAAAGAATAGGGAATAAAACATCCCTCCTGTGAGGAAAAGCAGAGAGCTGGGACTTTTTTCCAGGCTGGAGAAGAGAAGGCTCAGGGTGGATCTCATCAATATGTACATGTGCCTGATGGGAGAGTGTAAATAAGTTGGACCCAGGCTCTTTCCAGTGGAGCCCAGTGACAAGACCAGAAGGAATGGGCTTCACTCTGAACATCAGGAGACACTTCCTCTGTGAGGGTGACCAAGCACTGACACAGGTTGCTCAGAGAGGTTTTGGGGTGTCCATCCTCAAAGATATTCAAAAGTCATCTGACATGATCCTGTCTAGCTGGCTCTGTACATCCCTGAATGGGCAAGGTGGGGTTGGACCAGATGACCTGCAGAGGTCCCTTCCAACCTCAACCAGCCTGTGATTCTGTGAAATCAACAGTACGTATCTAACTTGTCTGCAGTTTTGACATTTTTATTCCCTAATTGTAGTCCTCATTTTAAAAAGAGTGGTCATTCTCAGCAAAATCGCCCTAAGAAGTAACTCCATACTAACTTCCCAGATGTGCACCTATCTAGATAACCCACCCAGTACCTTGGAAAGCCGTAACATTATTTGTCAGATAGGGTAACACTATGCCAACACACGATGGCTATGAATCCCTTGGGTGGTTACATTCCGGAAGACAGACATCCCAAGTGAGCAGACAGAAAGGCACCCCATCCTCAAGGGGGCCTCTGAGCAGTGTCATGGACAGACAACATTGCTCTTCTGCGTAGTCTTCCCAAATATCCCTTCTGCAGCACTCAGGCTAAGCTCAATGTTTTGTTTGCACCTGTGCTGGTTTTTGGGTGGAACAGAGTTAATTTTCTGCACAGTAACTGGTATTGGACAATGTTTTGGATTCGTGCTGAAAACAGTGTTGATAGGGATGTTTTCATTACTGAGCGGCAGTGCTTACACAGAGTAAAGGCCTTTTCTGCTCCTCAAATCACTGTTCTAGTTCTAGGGCTTCCACATATACCTCCACTGAAAAGCTGCTACTAGATATTCCTTGAGCTTTATTACTCTGACTGTAATTCCTTTTCCACAGCTGGAGGAGATAGAGATGTATGCACACATGGCTGACAGAGCATATCTTAAAATGACAAATCCGGTAGGAATACACCAACTTGAAAAAGAACAACTAATTTAAACTAAATATTTTGTGATTTTCTACTCCCCGTTTCATTATATAAACAGATAATTTTTCCCCTCAGACCTCAGAGAGAAGTTGACGTTGTTGATGACAAATGAAATAACTTCATGCGTATTGTCAGGCATGGAATGACATAGCCCAGGGTGGATTAAACAGAATGGAAACAAGATAAAATAGTAATAGAGAAATGCCTGTTGCAGTAAAAATCCCCCACTCCAATCAACTCCCATTTTCCAGGATGGAAAAAAATAAAAATAAAATCTGTTTAATTTGGTTTGCAGCTGTCCAAAATTCTGAAAGCACTTAGGAACAACCCTGGTCTTATTAATAGTTCATTTAAATCTGTGTCTCTTGGCTTTAATATTTTTCCATATGGGAATTTTTAATCTAAAATTACAACTTCATTTGTACACTTGTTCATTCACAGATTCTTGTAGCACTTCTCCACCTCCTACTGTTGTGCAGTTAACGTATGAGAAAAAAATAAAAATGGGACAAAATTGATGGTTACCAGAAGGAAACTTAGATATGTGTTATTTATCATTCTCGTTTTTGGCACTCTCTTGAGCTTCCTCTAAAGGAGCAGCTAAGGAGTCAATCCAATCTCTTTTTGTAAAGTTATGAATCTAATCTCAGGCTTGGTCTGCAAACATCCACTGTGTGATAAATAAAGAGCTGCACAAGAAGTTTACAGAAGCTGAGGTGAGGAAGACATAGCTACGCCGAAGAATTCTGCCAAACACTTCTTTGCGTTACGGTGGAAGAATACTACCCATCATAACCCCCACAGCAATATACCTGGTCTTAGAAACAAAGATTTCATAAAAGTGTTAATATATGTATTTTTAAGCTGCACTGTGTATATAAAAGAAATTAATAAGCACTTTCATTGATCAGGTTCTGCTTTGGGCTTTTAAGCCCTACACCAAGGGAAATACAAACATTTGAAACATAACCCTCATCCAGCCCTCAAGAAATACAGCCACTATGTCACAGCACCTGGTAAATCAGACTGAAACAAACCCCAGAAGTTTTAATGGATGTACAAAAATGTATCAAGATAAACCCAGACAGTTCAATGAAAAACATCTGCCTGTGTGCCAGTCAATGAGGAATTCATGACTTGCAGTATTAGCATACTGATCCTTATACTATTCAGAAATACTTGAATAAAAGAAGAAAAAGGTGGAGATCATTTCCCAGGAAGTCTGACAGTTACAATATTGAAAACAGCATTAAAATATTTTATCCTGAGAGCTCAGGCTGCAAAGAACAAAAAAACCCCACTAGTTTCTGCTGTAGTAAGCTTTGCTTTGCTGCCGTAATGTACACCTCTGTTTACATAACGTCTCTCCAGCTCAGTTTCATTATTATCCATCATAGTACAACTACTTATCTGCCTTTAAACAAGCAAATGAGTGTCTGTGTTTAAGGAAGCCAAAGTGCAACTAATGACATCGACATTTTTCAATTTACGGAAGATTTTAGGCCATGTGATCTTTTCCAGACCTGCAAGCTGCCCCATGCAGAAAATACTCAGAAGACAATTGCCATCTGAAGTTAAGCACCTTGTGGACATGAGAAATGTAATTTTCAGCAGTACTGCGTATTCTCAATTTCTTCCTTATGCCTGTGCTGTCTGGTGCACTGGCTCTAAGGAGCCTTTTCACCAGCCGAAGATATGACTTCTGATGCCTCAGAATAAGAGGGAAAGTCTTACCAGGAATCTTGTTCCCTTTCAGGGGGTCATGATAATGCCATCTGCCCTGAAAACGCAGAGTTAGTAACTCAACTTTAGGCAGCCAAATTTGAATAAATGGGACACGCAGAATTAACCTCTGACTGCAGACTCAGTTTCACTTATTATTTCACTGGAAATCACAGCGTTAAAAGAAAAAAAAAAAAGCTTCATCACTGTAAATCCCAAACCTTTTCTTTCCAGAAAGAGGTGTTAGAGGGATTTCTGTTTAAAATGTCATTTCAAACCAATTTCTGTCTAGCCATGGTCCAATATTCATGGAAAAATTGCTCAGGTGATTATCACAGGACTAATTTCTTGGTCAGATCTTCTTTTCCACCCGATTTCACCCTCTTGGAGTTTGTTATATATAAAGTACTCATATATTTATAAGTATCATTTTACACCAGGATTACTTAGCCACATATCTAGGCATTTGCAGTACGCTATTGCATCTCTCCTGCCTCCCATTAACAAAGTGTCCCAAAGAAAAATGCCTCTCTTGGGAAAGAGACCAATTCTCAGACAGATATATTTTTCCAATTTCCAAGCTGGCTGCATTCCTGTTTGCTGTCATGCCTGTGGACTTGTAACAGCTGAGAGTGCAAAAACCTGCCCTCTCCTTTTCACATCCCTCAGTGTAAGTTTCAAAAGTTTCAGTGCTTGTGAATGATCAATGCCTTCATTCTTTTCTTGCAAGTCCCTTCTCCAAAAAAAAATCCCTAAAAGCCTGTAGGTAGCAGACTTTGGCACATGCAAGAGATTATTACCTATCGTGACTAAAAAGAGATGAGAGTCACCATGCAGAAAACACACAACTCCACCACCATTCCACCTCAACCGCCGCTGACACTCTCGCAGCTATTAGCAGCTTTCTGTTGCATGTTTTTGCACTCAATCCCTCTTCTCATGCAGTAACCACTAACCTTTCTGTAGTTTTACCCCTTGCTCTCCTGACCTTTGTGCTTCCTATAGTCTCCATATGCTTGTATCTCTTGGTCTAGATTCATTCCTAAAAACTTTCTCAGCTCCGTACTCTTTATTTCTCTGCTCACCGCAAGTAATTTACTTTCATTATGTAGCTTCGAAGAAGCAAAGACACTTAGGATGGGATGACTGTAATGCAGAGAAGCACTGATGCTCTGAAAGTTATCCATTTACTATTATGAGCATAGTTATGTAAACTGATAAAATAATTTGAACTAATAAATTGCATAATATTAAGGATTAAAGGCTCCAAAACCTAAACCGCATTATTTGTGTTATAACAGCATAGACCATTTCCTAGTGCAGACTGGCTGACAGACAACTGGTAGATAACCTGGCTCTTCCACTGAATTCTGTTAGACCACGGTACCACGCAGTTACCAGCTCTTGGTACAGAACCACGCCGCTGTCCTAGCCCGCACAGTCCAGCCATAAATCCAGCTTCCACTGGGGCTGTATCGACAGCCTGCACACACTCCAAACCAAAGGAAACAATCTGCTGGAACAGTCCCCAAGGAAACAAAGCAACACCAGTTTTGCATATATTGAATATATAACAAGAACAAGAATATATTGTTCTTTTTTTCGTTTGCTCAGAATAGGATACTCTAAACTTCCAGCTCAGTTACACCCCTTTTCAAACAATTTTCCCTTGTATTAGTAAATTCCCATGAAGCAGATGATAACAGTGCCCTAATATCAGACTGAAGAAGCTTTAGTGGATAAATCCATCATTTTTCTAACAAGGGTAAATATTCCTACCCCCCCAAATACACTTAAGTGTTACTACATGAGAAAGAGGATTATGGATTCAACTTGAACCATCTTATTTGCTTGGAAAATATTTCTTAGGATGACAGAAGAATTCCAATTGGAAGCGATTTTGCTACTCCCAGACCCTGCCCACAGCAGTCTCAGCCACAGGGTCAGATCAGACTGCCCTGGGCTTATCCAGTCAGGAGTGTAAAAGCTCCAAGGATACAGACAACAGAGTCTCACCAGCACTCTGTTCCACTGCTAGACCACTCTCACGAGGAAAAAAAACCATTTCTTGCTTGTTTTCATCTTTGCCTTGCATAAAAGTATGCCTCCATACTTACCTGGCAGGGGAGACACCATGATCAGGCAGGTGGTTTTCCCAAGGCGAGGCTCATCCCTTGCACTCCGGGTGTGCTGACCCCTGTGATTTCCCCAAATGCGGGAAACTCGACTGCATAATTTGTGGTAGTGGGGGACTGCGTTCGTGCTCCTCCCTGCTTCCAAAACACAGCCAGGTCCCGAGTGGCAAGAGTCAGAACCAGAGATCCCAAGAGCCAGAGCCCAAAAGCAATTGCAGCAGAGTCCAAGCAAGCCCCTTCAGAAAGCCAACTAACCACCAACAAACATGGCCCTCGGACCCCCTCCCCACCTGTGTAA